ATTTAAAAAGTAATTATATAGTAATAATTAATTAAATTTATATAAAAATTAATATATATTTACTTTAATATCTATAAAAAAATTTATTTATTAAAAAATATTAATATTATTTTTTTAAATTAATTTTTTAAATTAAAAAAATTAATATAAAAAACTTTTTAAACAAATTATATATATATTTTATATATAAAAAATTTCACAAAATATTAAATTTTAATAATATTTTTCTTTATTATATAATAAAAATTTTATTAATTTTTATTAAAATTTTTTTAAAAATAATATATAGTTATATCTTTTTAATTACACTCTTTCTAAGTATATATATTATATAATTTCTTTTTAAATATATAATATATTCTAGTTCTAAATTATAAAAGCTTTATATATTTGATTTCTATAAATATATATCCTTTTTAAATACATACTTTTTATTTTTTTACTATAATTTCAAGAAGAATATATTTAGAAAAATGTAATTATATTAAAATTATTTTTAAAAAATTTTTCAAAAAAATTTTTTAAAAAAAATAGATTTTTAAAGTTTTTTAAAAATTTTTTAAAGATATTACTAAGATTTTTTATTGAATATATTATTTTTTTTATTTTTAAATACTAAACTATATATATATAAAATATTTTTTATTATTTAAATAATAATTATTTTTTTATAAATTTTTATTTAAATTAAAAAAACTTTTTAAATTATTATATATATATAAATTTTTATATTATTTAAGTAATTTCTTATTAAATTATAATAAATTTTCAAATTCTAATTTTTATATATAATAAGATAATAAAATTAAAATAATTTTATTTAATAAATATTTTATAATAAAAAATAATTTTTTATTAATATTATTATAAATATTTAAAAATATTAATAATTATATTAATATATATAAATTTAATTCTTAATCTTTTAAAAAAATAATAATTAATCTTATTAAATTATTATTTATTAATATTAATAATTATATATTATTATTATTATTAACTATACTTAGTAAATAAAAATCTGTAATTAGTAATAATTTATATATATAAAATATAATAATAATTTTTCTATATTAAAAATTTGTATATTTTAATATAGCGAAATTATTTTAATTTTTACTATATTTTATATATATAAATTATAAATTATAAATTATAAACTTTTATCTATCAAGTATATAACTTTATTCAATTATATTTTATATATAAATAATCAATATTTTAGATTATGTATTAATTATATTTACTTTATGCTTAAAGATCTACAAATAGCAAAATTAACAAAATTATCATAGCAAAGTTAGTAATTTTATTGCAGCAAAACTAATAATGTTATTTATAGCAAAATTAGCATAATGATGCCAGCAAAAATATCTGAGCAAAAATAATAGACAATAAATCAAACTCCACTAATTCCGATTCAAGACCCACTCTAACAATGGTATGGGAGTTTCTCACAATAGCTTTTATTGGATATACTAATCCAACTAATTACCCCGTTTGCTAAAAATAACAGAACGTATACAAGGTTTCACCTACCTTCACTTCCCACGGTAGTGAGGCGCAGTCTCAATAGAAACCAGATTAATTGGGCTGTCTCATTGGGCATATCATAGAAGATAACTTTTTCTTTAATAGACTAGTATATAAATATGTCTCGTGGATTAAATGACGAGTTATTGCAGGCTTTTATGCTTGAGGACGATTCTAAAACCTCCACTGCGGTGTCATTAGAGAATAATTCAACACTTACCTTACATGAAATTGATGAGGGAGATGCTGAAGAGGATGTGTCACAGTATGGTGAAGATACAGGAATGTTGTTAGAGTCTATCGAATTCGAAGAGATAAAAAAGCCTAAAGATGGTGGATCGGTTTTTGAGAGCTCGTTGTTGATGGCGAATAGTATAATAGGAGCAGGTGATCTCAATAATAATTTTTGATTTAATAACTTATTTCAATGTATACTAACAAATTGATATTTCGATCATATATAGGAATAATTGGTAGGAAATTATTATAATCGAATAATATAATAGAGAAAAATTGTTTGAAGTTTTGTTTAAGGTTTTTATTCGTCACAATTATTTATTTTAACAGGACTTCCATTTTCATTTCGAGAGGCAGGAATATGGACAGGACTGATTTTATTATTGAGCTTGACGGTAGTCGTCGATTGGACTATTCGCCTACTAGTTTTAAATTCTAAATTATCGGGACGTAATTCTTATCAGGATATGATGTACTACTGTTTTGGAAAAAGTGGTCTAATTGCTATATCGGTGTTTCAGTTTGCTTTCGCATTTGGTGGTGAGAATATTTAGATAAATTGTTATCAGTGTTTATTTATTTGATTATTTGGATAAAGATGGAGAATGTGGACGCATCGTTTTATATCATTTTTTTAGTAGTATTAAAAGCTGATCGTATATAGAAAGCCAAACAAAGAAAGATTTTTTATATGGGTTAGGGTATCAAATAAATTTTATTATGTTAATTAATAATCATTAATTATTTAATATTAATATGTTCCATTATCAACAGGAATGGCCGCTTACTGTGTTATTATAGGTAAGCATCATTATCGTTCTTGTGTAGTTTTACTCCTTATAACACCTATTAACATACAAACACCAATACTAGGTGATACGATACCTCACGTCATATCCTCACTATTTCCGCATATTGCCAATATACCAATACTTGATCTATTTGTACAGCGTAATTTCGTAATAATCATATGTACGCTAAGTGTATCCTATCCACTCTCTTTATATCGCGATATTTCTAAATTGGCAAAAGCTAGCGGTTTGGCCTTAATATCGATGGTTATAATTGTACTGTGTATCGTGGTGAAAGGACCTCTGGTGAAACCGGAACTGCGTGGTAATGAAAAGGGCAAATGGGATTTTGCGCATCCTCAGTTGTTTCAGGTAATTGTTCTTCGAGTTGTTGTGTAATTCTCTTTTTTGTATTACTAAGTGACTAATGTAATTTTTATTTATTAATTATTAAAAGGCGATTGGCGTAATTAGCTTTGGTGAATATATTTTTAAAATGATTAGGATTTTTTTATGTTTCTATTTCAATGATAATATATTTCCTAATTCCAAACTTTTTAGCCTTCGTATGTCATCATAATTCACTATTAATTTTTGATTCGCTAAAGAAACCTACATTAAATCGGTTTGCTACTGTAACTCATTGGTCGACGGGTATGTCAATGCTAGCGTGTATATTGATGGCTTTGTCCGGTTATTTGGTGTTTACGGATAAAACGCAGGGTAAATTTTATCAATTTTTGCTTTTAATAGCACTGCATCTCGTACCCCGCTACATATACAAGAGTACAAAATTTGAGTGAGGACCTACCGAATTGAGCTGCAAAAAAGGATTACTAATATTAACGGATTTTTTTATTTTTTCCCATAATAAAGGAAACATATTGAATAATTTCCCAGATAATGATCCAATTGTTAATGTAGCACGATTTTGTTTTGGATTCAATATGTTTACCACTCTTCCGCTAGAAGCGTTTGTTTGCCGAGAGGTAACTTAATTGGCATTGGGTGAGCTTATCTACATACGAATAATTAAATAATCTTTCTTTATACCTTAATTAGGTTATAGAAATCTATTTTTTCAACAATGAATCATTTTCAGAAAAACGTCACCGACTAGTAACAACACTACTAGTCGGCGGCGCAATGATAATTTCATTAATCACCAGCGACCTAGGCTTTGTATTAGAATTAACTGGTGGATTTTCCGCCACGGCATTAGCCTATATATTACCACCGGCATGTTTCCTTCGACTCACCTCAGGAAAATGGTGGACACGGAAAAGATTGCCAGCCGTGCTTTGTATAATGTTTGGTGTTTGTGTCATGTTTTTGAGTACCTTTTTGTCGATTGCAAAGGCTATAAAAGGATAGTAGCAGCATGAATACCTAGGAATGTTGCCCAGACTATGAGATTTTACCATCTGCCATTTACTAAATCAGTTTTGGGATCTGAGATAAATTAATGTATATTTTAAATATTTGAAATATTTGAAATATGAAATAATTCAAAGCTAATTCAATTTCAAACTAATTTAGCCAATGTTTCAAATATTGAAATATGGCATAATTTTAATATTAAATGTTTGAAATTCCCATTATCATTTTATTAATAGAATATATCATTTAGAATATATATTTCTATCATAAAATTATCAGAATATCAAAGAAATATAATAAAATATGAAATTTTCTTTATATATAAATATTTTTGCAGAATTTTTATAATAGAAAATTTTTGTAATTAAATAAAAAATTAAAAAAATTATTATTAATAAATTACTTAAAAAAACTGAATTAATTAAGTATATTTTGATTTTTTAATTTTTCTAATTTCATCTTTATAATAATTTTAATTTTAATTGAATTATCTCTTTTTAGCTCAGATCTTTATTTTGCATTATTTATATAATAGATTAGTTTCTGTATTATTTTTTATAAAGATTAATTTCATTTTGGATACACAAATAATTATTCATATATTTAATACATTATTATGTAGATAATTATCATGTATATTTATATTATTAATTTAGATAATTAATATTTTTAATTAGATTTCTTTTTAATTATTCTTTTATATTTTTACTTATTTTTTCTTATTATTATTTATATTATTAGTTATCACATTATTAATTATTAAATTATGATTAGTTATTCTTCAAAGATGTAAATTAAGATAATTAATTCTATTTAATCATATATATTTTTATTAAATTAATTATTTATAATTATTTATATTTTATATTATTACCATTTTAAGATTATGCGTATGTAATTATTTTAAAATGGTAATAGTGACTGTGTTCACAGCAATTATTTTACTTTTATAACTTCAAGAGGTTATATGACTAATTATCTTTTCAATAAGATAATATACGTGAATTTACTTCTAATAAAATGCTCTCTCAATAGAGCAAGAAGAAAATAAGATAAGATA